AAAAGAAAAGAAAAAAGAAAATGCCAGCTCCAAGATTGCAATTTGTCACACTTACTGTAAGGCCACCATGTGCTTTTTATCTATGTTTGATGTGGTTGCTTCAAAGTACCACGCTCACCACTGAACACTTGCGCTTTACTAATTGACAAAAAACAAATTTTAAATTTGTCCCAATTTTCCCAATTTTGGGAAGAGAGGCCAAATGGAAGACCACACGCAATTCCAATGGTTTTCAGGCCAGCAACGCCTTGATGTGTCTAGCCCACTTAGCTTATTAACGGACTAAAACTGCGTTTGTAATTAATTCCATTTCATACAGAAGCCAGAAGTCTCTACCTGAGGCTGAAATAAGAAAGTGATCCTGTCACAGAAATAGTAGGCACAGTAATCCACACAAGGTTAACAAAACAGTGGGAAATACAGAAAAAAATACCTAATTCCCCGCCTGGATTCGTTCTTTTTAGGTTGGGGCGACAGTAGGAAAACCACGTGTCACTTGCCCAAGCATTTAACCCTAAAGGGAATTCCTCCCTCAAGGTCCCCAGGAGGCAGGGAGGCGGGGGCTCCTCCAGCCCAGTCCCCTCCTCCGGCCCCGCCCCCTCCCCGCCCGCAGAAGCCCTGCCCACCACCCCGTAGGCCCCGCCCCTGCGTCGCTGCCCACCCCGCGGCGCCCGAGTGCACTGAAGATGGCGGCTGCTGTAGGAAGGTTGCTCCGAGTGTCGGTGAGTGGCTGTCGGCTGGGGACAGGCGCGGAGACACTGGTGGCTTCGGGAATGTGCTTCCCAGACAGGATCCCGCGCTTCTGGGCTTGAGGGCCATTTGCCCTTCTTGGAGGGTTTCCGCGGGTAACGGACCCAGAGGCCTCCCCCGGGGAAGGTTCCATGCGCCTGCGCAGAACCGCCCTTCTTCTGTCCCTCCTCGAGGTCTCTTCCCCGAGTCTCTCTCTCCTCGTTCGGCGTCCCGGGTCCCCCGGCCCATCTCCACTTAAGGTCCTGACCCTGCTTCTGCCACCGACCCTGTGACCTTGGGCAAGCAGCTTCGCCTTTCTCAGCCTGTGTACTTAAGATGGAAAGAATGATACCTACATCAAGGCGTTGCTGTGAACAGCCCCTTAAATACTGGATAAAAAGCGCAAAGTGCTGAACAAATCATAAAGGCGTTCCCTCCCAATCCCGCTCCCGCGTGTTTCTGCTGCTGTTTCCTGCTTAACTGTGGGCAATGCGTCGTGCTCTTTTGGTACACGGCTTTCTCTGGTGGGGTTCAACACACTCCCTTTCGTTCTCCTGAGTCATTTTGAACGTTAAAGTTGAGCAAACCGGCAAAGTGCGGTGGCTCATGCCTGTAATCCCAGCACTTTGGGAGGCCGAGGCGGGCAGATCACTTGAGCCCAGGAGTTTGAGACCAGTCTGGACAATAATAGTGAGACCTTGTCTCTACAGAAAAAAAAAAATATACGGGCCTGCTGGTCAGTGCTCCTGGGGAGGCTAAGGTGGGAGGATCACTTGAGCCCAGGAGATCGAGACTTCAGTGAGCCCAGATCGCGCCACTGCACTCTAGCCTGGGTGAAAGAACGAGACTCTGTTTAAAAAAAAAAAAAAAAAAAAAAAAGGGGAAAAAAAAGGAAACCAATTTAAAGAAAATAGTAAGTGATATTTGGTGATAAGAAGACTTGAGAAACTAAGCTGGTAATGGAATGACTAGTGATTGGAAAATACCAACTCAGACCAGATGCAGTAGCTCACGCCTGTAATCCCAGCACTTTGGGAGGCCAGGGTGGGTGGATCACTTGAGGTCAAGAGTTTGAGACCAGCCTGGCCAACATGGTGAAACCCCATCTCTACTGAAAATACAAAAACTTAACTGGGCGTGGTGGCAGGCGCCTGTAATCCCAGCTGCTCAGGAATCCCACCTACTCATGAAGCTGAGGCAGGAGAATCGCTTGAACCCAGGAGGCAGAGGCTGCATGAGCCAAGATCACGCCACTGCACTCCAGCCTGGGCGAACAGAGAGACTCTGTTTAAAAAAAAAAAAAAAAAAAAAAAGTTGAGTAAACATTTCCCTTGAGCCTTTTCCAGACTCCCAGAGACTGAACTTGGCTCTACTTGTTTACTTGTCGCTGGTGCTGGAGGGGCCTTGTTTTTTTCTAAGGAAAACCTTGACATGGTAGAACATATTCAGCAGATAGTGCTGGGAAAGGCCTGCCCAAGTCCCCTGGCTTTTGAACCCTGTGTTGCTTTTAAGCTCATGGAGTTTGATTTTTTTTTTTTTTTTTGAGACGGAGTATTGCTCTGTCGCCCAGGTTAGAGTGCAGTGGCGCGATCTCGGCTCACTGCAACCTCCGCCTCACGGGTTCAAGCAATTCTTCTGCCTCAGCCTCCCAAGCAGCTGGGATTACAGGTGCCCACCACCGCGCCTGGCTAATTTTTGTATTTTTGGTAGAGATAGGGTTTCACCATTTTGGCCAGGCTGGTCTTGAACTCCTGACCTCGTGATCCACCCGCCTTGGCCTCCCGAAGTGCTGGGATTACAGGCATGAGCCACTGCGCCCAGCTGGTCTTTGTTTTCTTATAGTTCCCCTCTACCTTCTAGTCTCCTGGGAGAAGGAAGCAGAAGGAAGTGTTAAGAATATGCATACCCAGTCCATGCTCTTAGAGTTTGGGGTTTGCTGTTTGGTTCACAGGAACAGGGACAGCTGAAACCACCCTTGGCACGATGCCCTTTCAGCCTTCAGTCACCAGTACAGAAAAACTTTCTAATGAAAAGTTTCTCTTTCCAGGTTGCCCGACATGTGAGTGCCATTCCTTGGGGCATTTCTGCCACTGCAGCCCTCAGGCCTGCTGCATGTGGAAGAACGAGCTTGACAAACTTACTGTGTTCTGGTTCCAGTCAAGCAAAATTATTCAGCACCAGTAAGTGTTATGTCATGTCTTGGCTGGAGTCAGGTAAAGGAAAAATGAACCATGGTCTTTGGACAGCGGCTCTGAACCCTGGCCATATGTTACACTCATCTGGGAGCTTTCAGAAACAGCACTGTCCCAGTCCCACCCCAGACAAATTAAGTCAGTCTCTGGGGTGAGACCAGGACATGCTGGGTAATTCTAGTGTGCAGCCAGGGTTGAGAATCACTGAGGCAAACTGCCCTTGTCACATTTCCATGTTGGTTGCCAGAGCTTCTAATCCACTGTGTTGAGGAGGGGGTTAGTGGGAGCTCAGATGCCTTCTGGATCTACTGTCTGAAGAGCTGTGAGTGGTGGGCAGCCTCTGGGGACCTGAGAGGGCAGCTGCTCTAAGATTCAAACCTGTGTACTGGCCCCAGATGGCCACTTAGGAACCAGACCTGTCTAATGATATCTTCTGTAATCCGAGTGAAATTTAGCTGTTTCTTGAGATTTACATTCCCTTCTCTAGGATATGGGCTTTGCTAAGATCAGCCTCAGATAATGAGTGATATTTGAAAATAGCTTGTCTGGATTTGACTAGCCTTTGAAAAAGCACGTATTTAATATGTAATGGTTTGGGGGCATATATATTTTAGTAAAGCCTTTGTGGGCTAAATGTTCTAAGAGGTTTTGCAATTTTACTACCCTGGAGCTTTAAAATATTTCTAGTAGTGATGTGATACCACAGGCTTAAAATTTAGTCCACTGGTTTCAAATCCCCATCCCCATCCCCAGCAGCTCCTCCTTTTTCTGTTCATGGCAGTCTCAGGCATTTTGACATTGGAACTACTCTGTCCCTCATTCCCAGGTGGAAGCAAGTCCTTCTCAGTTTTGACACTTCTCTTGCATCCATTCCTTTCTGTTCTTTCTGCCCCATCCCTCCCCTCAATATGCGTAAGATCACTGAAATCGAGGCTGGGCGCGGTGGCTCACACCTGTAATCCCAGCACTTTGAGAGGCCAAGGCAGGTGAATCACTTGAGGTCAGGAGTTCAAGACTATCCTGGCCAACATGGTGAAATCCCGTCTCTACTAAAAATACTAAAAAATTAGCCGGGTGGGTGGTGTGCTTCTGGAATCACAGCTACTCGGGAGGCTGAGGCAGGGAGGCGGAGGTTGCAGTGAGCCGAGACTGTGTCACTAGGTGACAGAGCGAGACTCTTGTCTCAAAAAAAAAAAAAAATTAAAATCACTGAAACCACCTCCTAACATGTCTCTCCCTTTCTCCTGCTCCTCTTTCCCTCCTGCCAGACTGATCTTTCTAAAAACTGCCATCTCGGCCAGGCGCAGTGGCTCACGCCTGTAATCCCAGCACTTTGGGAGGCCGAGTTGGGCAGATCACGAGGTCAGGAGATCGAGACCATCCTGGCTAACACGGTGAAACCCTGTCTCTACTAAAAATACAAAAAATTAGCCAGGCGTGGTGGCGGGCGCCTGTAGTTCCAGCTACTCAGGAGGCTGAGGCAGGAGAATGGTGTGAACCCAGGAGGCAGAGCTTGCAGTGAGCCGAGATCATACTACTGCACTCCAGCCTGGGCGACAGAGTGAGACTCCGCCCTTAACTCTTATCTTTCCTGTTAAGAAGACCCAGCAGCCTAGTATTTAAGGATTCTTGCAACATGGCCTTCAACCATTCCTGCCTGCTGCCTGCTCTTCACTCCGTACCCTTAGACACTCTCTGTTCTCATTAGACTGTGCCACAGGCTGCTCCAACACATGCCCTGTCTTCCTTCCTGCTATTTCCTCCATGCCATCTGCCCCATGCCATCTAGACTTGACAAAATCTGAACCATATTTAAAATCCATCTCTAGTCTCATGTCTTCCTTAATTCTATCCCTACTATCTTTGTCTTCCTTTTTTTAAGTTTCCATAGCACTTGGAGTTGAATTTGTGCACAATCTAAAACTATAGAAGGAGAAATTACAGTCGGCCCTCTGTATCTGGGTTCTGTATCTGTGGTTGGTTGAATCGAAATTATTGGGAGGGAAAAATGGATGGTTGTGTCTGTACCGAACACAAAGACTTTTTTCTTGTCATTTCCTAGACAATACAGCTTAACAACTATTTCCATAGCATTTACATTGTATTAGGTATCATGAGTAATCTAGAGATGATTTAAGTATAATGGAGGGTGTGTGTAGATTATATGCAAATCACCATTTTATGTAGCAGACTTGAGCGTCTGTGGATTTTGATATCCTAGAACCAGTTCCCCACAGGTGGCAAAGGATGACTGTACAGTTGAACTGAATGTTTTGATTTATACTACTAATTATCATGAGAAGTTTAAATAAAATCATAAGTGCTTGACGTAGCAAATGATGAATTACATATGAGTGTGGGTTTTTTTCAGGTTCCTCATACCATGCACCTGCTGTCACCCAGCATGCGCCCTATTTTAAGGGTACAGCCGTTGTCAATGGAGAGTTCAAAGACCTAAGCCTTGATGACTTTAAGGGGAAATACTTGGTGCTTTTCTTCTATCCTTTGGATTTGTAAGTGTAATTTCTATGATGCTTTCGTGTCATTCTGAGAGCAAGCACATATCCTGTTCCCGCACTGAATTGTCTACCCCTAGATACTCTTGTGAAAGGAAGGATTCTGTCTGACCCTTTATCACCCATGGCCTTGTTGATTACAGCTGGGGTCTGTAGCTGGTTTACAAGTGATAAACTTCAGGGGTGGGATAGTGTTACTCTGTGCTCTGCAGTAGTGCTTCCCTAAGCCAATGTATGAAAGTTTTCGCTGGTCTGGGGAAAAATGAGAAAAGTAGGCATAATAAAATGATTTTTTTCAAAAAGCAACTTCATCGAACTGTAATTTTTTTTCTTAAAATGTATGTTCCCTTTCCCCATTTTTTGATACAATTCCTAAAATAAAAAGGTGAGGGGAGGTAATAGTACTTTTGCAGTGCAACACTATAGTCCAGTGAGGACGGTTAACCATTTTGCCTTTTTTACCCTTAGCAAGTTGAACTAGTTGCTAGACTACTAGTTGTTAAAATCCTTGCTTTTGAATTATTTAATGAGAATGTCTGTCCTTTTTTTCCAGCACCTTTGTGTGTCCTACAGAAATTGTTGCTTTTAGTGACAAAGCTAACGAATTTCACGACGTGAACTGTGAAGTTGTTGCAGTCTCAGTGGATTCCCACTTTAGCCATCTTGCCTGGATAAATACGCCAAGAAAGGTATCGCATTGCACCCCTAGCTTTTGCTCTTACGAACTTGCTTGGAAGAATCTAAATTTCTAGCTATGCTGCTGGACTATCAAGATTAAATTACTCAAGGGTTTTTGTTTGTTTGTTTGTTTGAGACAGAGTCTCGCTCTGTTGCCCAGGCTGAAGTGCCGTGGCGCGATCTTAGCTCATGGCAACCTCCGTCTCCCGGGTTTGTGCCATTCTCCTGCCTCAGCCTCCTGGGTAGCTGGGACTACAGGCGTCTACCACCATGCTCGGCTAATTTTTTTTGTATTTTTAGTAGAGATGGGGTTTCACCATGTTAGCCGGGATGGTCTCGATCTCCTGACCTCATGATCTGCCTGCCTCGGCTTCCCAAAGTGCTGGGATTACAGGCGTGAGCCACCACGCCCAGCCAATTAAAAAAAGATTAAATAAATAAAGAAAGAATTAGAAAAAGCACTTGTAGTCCCAGCTACTCAGGTGGCTGGGGTAGGATGATTGCATGAGCCCAGGAGTTTAAGGTTGCTGTGAGCTGTGATCACGTCACTGCATTGCAGCCTGGTGACAGCGAGACTCTGTGTCTTTAAAAAAAAAAAAAAAAGAAAAGAAAAGAAAAAAGGAAAAAACAATTTGAAAAGGCCTATAGTATTAGCCAGGTTTAAATCTTCCTTCTGCTCCTTTCTAGCTGTGACCTGGAACAAGTTACTTAACTTTTTTGTGCCTCAGTTTCCTCATTTTGATGATACCTACTCCGGGGTGGTTTCGAGGAGGCAGTAAGTTAATAGCGGTGCTTGGCCCATTGTTCAATTACTGTTCCCCGTTACCATTACTGTTGGTCTCAGACAGTATGGTACACGGTCAGGAATGCGGTGAGGCCGCGCCGTCTTGGCCCATTGTTCAATTACTGTTCCCTGTTGCCATTACTGTTGGTCTCAGACAGTGTGGTACACAGTCAGGGATGCGGCGAGGCCGCGCCGTCTAACAGTGGTGTTTGCGTTTTGATTAGAATGGTGGTTTGGGCCACATGAACATCGCACTCTTGTCAGATTTAACTAAGCAGATTTCCCGAGACTACGGTGTGCTGTTAGAAGGTCCTGGTCTTGCACTAAGGTAAGATCCTGTTTCTGATGAACTTAAATTATTTTTCATGTTTAGTATCATTCTACTTCTTAGGGGATTTATGTAGACCTTGGTAAGGCATTTTTAAATCCAGAAGATCCTGGCTGGGCATGGTGGCTCATGCCTGTCACCCTAGCACTTCGGGAGGCCAAGGTGGGAAGGTCACTTGAGTTCAGAAGTTCAAGACCAGCCTGAGCAACATAGTGAGACCTCGTCCCTGTTATATTTAAAAAAGTTAAAATTTATAATAATCAAAAAATCCTTAATTTTAGTCTTTTTTTTTTTTTTTGAGACGGAGTCTCGCGCTGTGTCACCCAGGCTGGAGTGCAGTGGCGCGATCTCGGCTCACTGCAAGCTCCGCCTCCCAGGTTCACGCCATTCTCCTGCCTCAGCCTCCGAGTAGCTGGGACTACAGGCGCCCGCCACCACGCCCGGCTAGTTTTTTGTATTTTTTAGTAGAGACGGGGTTTCACCATGTTAGCCAGGATGGTCTCGATCTCCTGACCTCGTGATCCGCCCACCTCGGCCTCCCAAAGTGCTGGGATTACAGGCTTGAGCCACCGCGCCCGGCCAATTTTAGTCTTTAATAAGCACTGATAAAATGCCTCTTGCAACGGTTGGCGGTCTCTTAGAAATGCTGAGACATGCGTGTCCCCTCCACCACCTTGGGTCTGTTTCTAAAGAAGGCTATCTGCATCTTGAGGCCACACTGCTCCATACTCCCTGACTATGTGGGAGCGACTTCCATGGGGACACACACCTGACAGTGAAGCCATCAGACTGTTTGCAGAAGGGGGAACTAGCAGGGTAAGAGGTAGTCTCTTGGAATGGTGACGATTTTCAGCCCTGGAGCCAAACAGTCCTGGGTTTGATTTTTTTCTTTTTTTTTTTTTTTTTAAACTCAGCTACTTTTAATAGCTATGTGACTTTGGACAAGTGATTTGATTTAACCTTGTTGAGCCCCAGTTTTTCCATAACTAAAATGAGGAGGTACCTCACAGGTGGGTGTGAGGATTAAATAAGTGACACAGCTAGTTAGCATAGTTACTGGCAGCAGCTGTTAGGATTTCTTCCCCAGAATGTCATTTCTATCTGTATTCAGTCCCTTATTAAACCTTTATTCCTTTGAGTGTGAAAAGCTTTCAGTCCTCAGCAGCTCCACATTCAAACATAACCTTCCTGGGAGGGGTGAGAACTTGGGCCTTAGAACTGGCATCTTGAAGTCTGCTGAGAATAGGAGTGAAGAAGGGATTGGGCAGAGCTTGACCTCCAGGAAGGAAGAGAGGGCCCTCCTTTTGATATGCTGTGCCTCACAGTTTTGCTGGGGGCTGGTCAGCTTAAAGCCAGCTCACCTGCCTCTTTTGTAGGTGATCTCTGGCCTGCTCCTCTTGGGTTACACCTTGGATTTTAGTGCTGGGTGGCATCTTAGAGTTTGGGCCTTTTCTCTCTCTCTCTTTTTTTTTTCTCTCTTTTTAAGATGGAGTCTTGCTCTGTCGCCCAGGCTGGAGTGCAGTGGCGTGATCTCGGCTCACTGCAACCTCTGCCTCCTGGGTTCAAGCAGTTCTCCTGCCTCAACCTCCCGAGTAGCTGGGATTACAGGCACGCGCCACCACACCCGGCCAGTTTTTGTTTTCTTAGTAGAGATGAGTTTCACCATGTTGGCTAGGCTGGTCTCGAACTCTTGACTTTGTGATCTGCCTGCCTTGGCCCCTCAAAGTGCTGGGATTACAGTCATGAGCCACCGCACCTGGCGGGTCTTTTTTTTTGTTTGTTTAACTGTAAAGAGATTATCAAAAGAATGCCTAGGTCTTTCAGGATTGGCAATGGCCAGAGAAAGGGTACTGGCTATTTTTCTCCTACGGTCCCCTTCCCTATGAGAACTCACTAATTTTGCAGTTAACTTCCGTACCCGTTTTAATATCGAGATTAACAAGAGAGAGAAGCTGAGTCTGGCTTATAAGATAAGACTTTCAGGAGTCTGTGAGCCCTGCTCTGTCCCAGCTCTGCCTCTGCTTCTATTGGTGGACTTCAGCTGGCTGCACCCTCTGGGAACAGTTTCACCTGAAACCCCAGGCCCCTAGTGCCAGACCGAGGGTGGGAGAAGCACCTTTTTACCCTGACTTTTCTCTAACCTGCCTTTTCCATGAGTGCTTGATACCTGGAATTTCCACATCCTTTTAAGACAGACCGTTAAAATCTGTAGGTTAAATAACTGGACACAGTGACACACACCTATAGTCACAGCTACTTGGAAGTCTGAGGTGGGAGGATCAGTTGAGCCAGAAGTTCGAGGCTGCAGCCTGCTGTGATCACACCTGAGAATAGCACTGCACTCCAGCGTGGGCAATATAGTGAGACGCTGTATTTAAACTAAACAACCAAAAAAACTTCTGGGCTAAACATATCTGCATCTGTCACAGTAACACCAACACAGAAGACAAACAGACCACTGTGGTAGCGTGGTTCATCTCATTACATGCTGCTACATGATGAAAAGTGATTAGCATGGTTTTCTGTTTTGCGTAGACTTACAGCCTGTACATTCTTTCTACAAAGATTTTTCCCGTGGGATTTCCCCCCCATTTACCCAAGAATTCATTCATAATAAACAGTTGTTGAATCCAGATAAAATACATATCTGTCTCTTCCCAGTTGCCTATGAATTTCTTGCCAAGATGTGATACAGTAGCTCAAAGAATGCTTGCCATGTCACTAATAGTCTTCGCTCTGTCTAGTTCAGTGACTTTCCGACGCTGTAACATTCAGGGCACTGTGTAAGTTTGTAAATGTGACCATACTGCAAGCTTTTTATGGTGACCTGGTCCAGTACTGCCTTTGTTAAAGCATCTGTCATCAGTAAGAGATGATAAACTTTTTGCACAACAGTGAAAACCCTACCTTTAAGCATATGATTATGCTTAATAAATATTTTATTAAAAGAATTAAAGACCTAAAGGGGAAGAAGTTAGACTGTTCTAGTTGTGGTACTGTTGAGGCACTGATGAGGATAAATGATCATGCAGAGGTCTCTTCATAATTGACCCCAATGGAGTCATCAAGCACTTGAGCGTCAATGATCTCCCAGTGGGCCGAAGCGTGGAAGAAACCCTCCGCTTGGTGAAGGCGTTCCAGTATGTAGAAACCCATGGAGAAGTCTGCCCAGCGGACTGGACACCGGATTCTCCTACGGTAGGTTTTTTCCCCCAAAAGCAGTGAGGTCCATGTTCTCTCAGCCTCGAGAGCTATTGACCTGAAGTATCCACAAAAGGGAGCCCACCCTTGGAGCAAGCGTGCGGATGATGTACAAATGGGTGAAGCTGCTGTGGGGTAGAGGGGGTGGGGTGGGGAGCCAGGAAACAATTATCAGAGACAAGCAGACCTTTTTTTTTTTTTTTGAGACGGAGTCTTGCTCTGTCGCCCAGGCTGGAGTGCAGTGGCACGATCTCGGTTCACTGCAAGCTCCGCCTCCCGGGTACACGCCATTCTCCTGCCTCAGCCTCCTGAGTAGCTGGGACTGCAGGCACCTGCCACCACGCCCGGCTCATTTTTTGTATTTTACTAGAGACGAGGTTTCACTGTGTTAGCCAGGATGGTCTTGATCTCCTGACCTCGTGATCCACCTGCCTCAGCCTCCCAAAGTGCTGGGATTACAGGCGTGAGCCACCGCACCTGGCCTAGAGACAGGCAGGCCTTAATGAAACTTTGATCTTTGTGTTTTAAAGGAAATCTTTAAAAGTTTAAAGAACTTTAGGTTAAAAATTGGGGGATTGCCATTCAGTTTTGGGCATATTTACCATATTATTATGGTAAAGTCACAATTACCTAATTAAGCTTTTGTATTTTCAGATCAAGCCAAATCCAGCTGCTTCCAAAGAGTACTTCCAGAAGGTAAATCAGTAGATGCCCATGTGTATCTGCACTTTCTCACCCCAGAGAAGAACCACAGTTGAAACCTGCTTTTATCATTTTAAAGATGGTTATTTGTAGAAGGCAAGGAACCAATTATGCTTGTATTCATAAATATTACTCTAAATGTTTTGTTTTTGTAATTCTGGCTAAGACCTTTTAAACATGATAGTTGCTAGTACAAGGAATCCTTTATTGGTAACGTCTTGGTGGCTAGCTAGCTAGTTTCTACAGAACATAATTTGCCTATATAGAAAGCGATTCTTAGATCATGTCTTCAGTGGAAGCAGTCTTCTGTCTTAGCCTTACTTGAATCTTGCCTATAACAAAGTAGAGCAACATGCATTGAAAGCGTCTGATCAAGGGTCCTGAAATTTTCAATTTGAATGTCTTTGTATTAAACTGAATTTTCTTTTAAGCTAACAAAGATCACTATTTTCAATTAGCCGTCTAACTCTTGCAATGAATGTTTATGTGATTGAAGCAAATGTGAATCATATTATTTTTAAAAGTGGCAGAGTGACTTAACTGATTATGCATGATCCCTCATCCCTGAAATTGATAGTTTATGTAGTCATTCTACTTATTTTATTCACTAGCTAACTTTGTCTATGTATATTTCTAGATATTGATTAGTGTAATTGATTATAAAGGATATTTATTAACTTCAGGGATTGCATTTTGAAATTACAATTATTTTCTTTGCTGAAGTATTCATTGTAAAACATAAAATAAACATATTTTAAAATATTTGCATTTTACCACCATTAACTGTTGGATCAGCTTATTCTGGGCTCTCCTTTCCTTCTCAGATTACATCAACAAACATTTATTGAGCATTTACCTCAGGGGCCCCAAAGAGAATAAGATGCTGGTTCCACACTCAAGGAACTCGGTTTAGGGGCAAGACATACAGGGAAACATTTACTCATTGTTTCAGTAAATCCTTGAGTGCCTACCCTGCACCAGGTGCTGTTTTCCAGGCACAGGAGGGAACGAAGGACAAACCCCTGCTTTTAAGCTCTTACGTTCTACAGGGGAAACACAATACATGTAGTAAAAGTAGAGTGTTTGGAAGGAAAATAATGTGGAGTGAAACTCTGCTGAAGCGGAGTTGTAGGTGTTCTAGATGGGGTTGTTAAGGAAGGCCTTAAGGGTGAGCCTGTCTCTGGGTCAATTTTCTGATCCGTAAAATGAGGACCATAATTGTACCTATCTCGGGGTTTTGATGAGCCTCAAGGGAGAGAAAACGTGTAGGAAGTGAGAGTGTTACTGGGATAAGAGGCTTCTAGGTAGAGGGCATGGAAAACACAAAGGCCGTAAGGCAAGAGTGGACTCAGAGTGGATGCAGATTTACTAGGATGCCGGTGACTAGGGCGGTGGTGGGGGTCCCAGAGTGCCTTTTGGCCAAGCCAAGGACTTGAGGTTCTGTTCTGGGGTGGGGAATGTCAGGAAGGATTTGAAAAGAAGCGTGACATCAACTTGTAAGATAATCACTCTGGCTCCTTTGTTAAAGACTGGACATAGCGGTCCAAAGTGGGGAAGCAGGCAGCGGGCTGGCTTTGTGACATCCTGGAGGGTAGAGACAACAGAATAGAACAGCACGCTACTGCTGCACCGGTGCTTAGATGGATTTCTGCGGCATAAGGGTAGAAGTGGAGGGGACACCTTAACTGGGAGGGTCAGGGAAGGCTTCCTGGAAGAGGAGGAACCCTTGGAGGTTAAGAAAAGTGAGCGAGGCAAACTGAGCAAATATAGAAGCAGAGTCACACAGGCCTGAAGGACAAGATGAGCCGATTTCCTGTCCCAGGAGGGGCAGGGCAAGGGAAGGAATTGGCCCGCTGGAGGTTAATGGCCAATACTGAGCACTTGTGAGAGCTCAGTGCTGTGTTAGGGATATTTTATTTCCTTTGATCCGAAACAAAACCCTGAGATAGGTGCAATTGTTATCCGCATTTTGCGGATGAGAAAATAGACTTTGAGATACTGACTTGGCGAGGGTCACACACCTAGGCGGTGTGCTGGGTCCCCCAGTCCAGGACTCCGGAGGCCCCCTGAATGACCTAGGCACGCTTGTGGCTTCCATGAATTTCAGTGCACACACACAGACCCCACCCACTCCTGTGCTAGGGAAGGGCAGGTGAAGGAACTGAATTTGCCCCAACACTGGAAAAAAAAAAACAAAAAAACCTGTCGGGCTGAGGGATAGTGCACTGTGCCCAGGGCCCTATACTTGGTTTGATGCTCTGGTGTTACTCTCTTGAAATTCTCAGTAACTTGAATAAGGGGCACCGCATTTGACATTTTCACTGGGCTGAGTCCATGATGCCGCCGGCCTGACTGCGCAACACCATGCACCCTGGAATTCGCGGGCAATCGGAGGGATTTTCCAGGGCAATGACCACGGGTAGGGCGCGGCAGGAGCGCATGGTGAGGTTGCGGAGGGCCTCACTCACAACCTTTGGGGATCTTCGCATTAGATTCTGTGATATGGGGTTCCGATACTGACCCTTTGGGGCCTGGAGACGGCCCGGCTCCCCAAATGTGCGGAGGAGGGCAAGCAGGGTTGGGAAGACATGGCCTGTGGGAGAGCTGGGCTCGCCGGAACAGCGGGCGCGCAAGGGCCCCGAGGCGCCGTGACACGGGAAGTCGGGCGCGCGGGCCTGGGGCGGGAACTGCGGGTGCGCGCGGCCCGGGGCGGGGCTCGCCGCCCGGCTCCTCCTCCGCGCGCGGCCCGGGGCGGGGCTCGCCGCCCGGCTCCTCCTCCGCGCGCGGCCTGGCGGCGGCGGCCACTCTAGCCAGCGCAAGATGTCCCTAGAACAAGAGGAGGAAACGCAACACGGGCTGCTCCTAGGATGCAGCGACGCCGTCCCCGCCTTCATTGAGCCCAACGTGCGCTTCTGGATCACCACCGTGCGCCAAGTACGGCCCCGGGCCCCGCGCGGCTGGGGGCGGGGAGGGGGCGGGCCGGGCCGCGTGGTGTCGGGGTGGCCCCGGTGACCTTGGCCAGGCCACGTGGGCGCCCCCCGTCTCCGTTTCCTCGTTCCGGAGTTGTGCGGGGTACGTGCACCACCGGCCTTCACCCCTTAGGGCGCGGGAGGGGACGCAGGGGAAACCCAAGCTGCCCATGACCACAACGTCATCCTCCAGATCGCCCTCTTGGAGGGGCCCAGTTCGCGCAGGTGGCTTCTCCCTACTCCCTGAGCTGTGGCTGAGCAACAGATTGGGGAGAAACAGGCCCTCCCACCTTGGTAAGCCCAGCCACTCTCGGTGAGAGCCCCGAGGCTTTGGAAAGCCACCCTTGGACAGGAAATAAGCAGGACTCACCTCCCTGCGGCGTCTAGGGCAGCACCGTCCAATAGAAATAAGATGTGAGCCTTACAGGCAATTAAACATTTTCCAGTAGCCACGTTAAACAAGATAAAAAGAAAAGGTGAAATTTTTAACAATACAGTACATTTAGCCCAGCAGGTGCAAAATACTAACGTTTCAACATGTAATCAGTACAAAACATTCCTGAGATATCTTACTCGTTTTTTTGGTGCGAAGTCTTCCAATCCAGCGTTTGTTACACTCGCAGCACATCTGGGTTTAGCCGCATGTGGCGAATCAGGGAGCAGGGCTTTACAGGGTTCTCTTTTAGGCCTCTCCTAAAGTGGGGTCCAGCCCTGTTTTTTTAGGTGGGGAAATTGAGAAGGGACAGTGAGCTCCGGTTGCTCCAGCAGAACCAGGGCTTAAAGCCAGAACCACTACAAAGTTTGGGGTTTGCTGGAGCAAACCTCCTTTACCCAGTGTGACCCCAGCTGCACCATTGAGCCCTTAATGGGGCGTCCATCCTTTTTCACTGGAGTGAAGCCTTATAGCAAGCAGAGAGTGAGGCCACAGATTCTGAGAGCTTCTAGGCCGTTGCTTTGAGGTCGTATGTGAGATATGAACATAGGACCATTTGAACCCCAAAGTCTGGGATTTTCGCCCTCAAGGGCAATTGATACTGAGCGGTTAAGGGCACAGACTTCTGAATAATTTACTGGCTGTGTTCCCTTGAGTACATTCATGAGTCCCTCTAAGCCTCAGCTTCCTCACCTGGAGAATGGAGAGGTTGGGAGGATCCCAGGAGTTGATGCCAGTAAAAGGCAGATCACAGATCCTGGCAGGTTCTCAAAAAAAAAAAAAAAAAAAGCCAACTGTTACTACTATGTCTTTATTTTTCTGCTGCTATTAACCTCTCTGTTGCTTTTCTCCCTCATAAGTCCTTTATTCGACGATTTCTTCAATGGACAGAATTATTAGATCCTACAAATGTGTTCATTTCAGTTGTAAGTATTGTCTTCAGAGCTAATGAATTTCACATTTTATTTTGAAACTTAAAGACCGCGTGTCCCTTTTTTTTTTTTTTTCAGACGGAGTTTTGCTCTTGTTGCCCAGGCTGGAGTGCAATGGCACCATCTCAGCTCACAGGAACCTCTGCCTCCCACGTTCAAGCGATTCTCCTGCCTCAGCCTCCAGAGTAGCTGGGATTACAGGCATGCGCCACCATGCCCAGCTAATTTTGTATTTTTAGTAGAGACAGGGTTTCTCCGTGTTGGTCAGGCTGGTCTCCAACTCCTGACCTCAGGCCCAGCCCACATGTCCCTTTTAAAAGCAGTTGAAATAACAATCTGCATATATTATTGTGTGTATTCCTTCTGAATGAGCTTGTCAGATTGGAAGGGGTAAAGAAAAGCATACATCTGACCATGTGCCATGCCTCATGCCTTTAATCCCAGCACTTTGGGAGGCCGAGGCACATGGATCACCTGAGGTCAGGAGTCCTAGACCAACCTGACCAACATGGTGAAACCCCCATTTCTACTAAAAATACAAACATTAGCTGGGTGTGGTGGCAGGTGCCTGTAATCCCAGCTATTTGGAAGGCTGAGGCAGGAGAATCACTTGAACCCAGGAGGCGGAGGTTGCAGTGAGCGGAGATCCCGCCACTGCACTCTAACCTGGGTGACAAGAGCAAAACTCCATCCAAAAAAAAAAAAAAGAAGAAAAAGAAAAGCGTACATTTGTTTAACAGGTAATATCAGGCCCAGGTCGGGTGCTGGTGATTCAGAGAGAAACAAATCTTCCACATGATGGAGGACAGACTGGCTAAACTAGTCACATCCTGGGCGACAACAGTGAAATTCCATCTTTAAAAAAAAAAAAGAAAGAAAGAAAGAAAATGTAATAAAATTAGAAGCAAATATAACCAGATGTTTACAGTTGTTAATTCTGGGTGAGGGGATTATAGTGTGTAGCCATTCTTTGTAATTTTTGTATTTAATTATTTTTTCTCAAATTAAGAAATGGAGGCTGGCTCGTGTCTATAATCCCAGCACTTTGGGAATCTGAGATGGTAGGATCTCTCGAGAATAAGAATTTGAGACCAACCTGGGCAATATAGCGAGACCCTATCTGTACAAATAAAAATAGAAAGTTAGCCAGGTGTAGTGGGTTGTGCCTGTAGTCACGACTAATTGGGAGGCTGAGGCAAGAGGATCACTTAAGCCCAGGAGTTCGAGGCTGCAGTGAGCTGTGATCACACCACTGCACTCCAGCCTGGGCAACAGAGTGAGACTCTGTCTCTTAAAAAAATAAGAAAATAAAGAAAGAAAAAGAGGTAAGACTGAACTGATTAGACGTGGAAGTGGGTGAGGGAGAAAGACTTCCGGGTTTCTGACATGCATAGCCAGGGGATGGTGGTAACCATTCAGTGAGACAGTTGACATCAGAGAGTGGG